CTCGCGCGCCGCCACCCCGGGGCTCAGGGAGGCAGAGGAACGTATCGCCCCCCCCCCCGCGGCCTTTGCCGCTGCCGAGTGCACGGCCGTCATAACTCTTTAAAGAGCCCTTAATAAGACCTGGAGGAGCCAGAATGACCTCTTGCGTATGATGGCTGAGCGGCACGCCGCTCAGCCATCATACGCGAGAGGTGGAATTTGCCCTTAGGACTCCAACGCCCCTAGGACTCCAACGCCACCACCCTGGGGCTCAGGGAGGCGGAGGAATGTATTGCCCCCCCCGCGGCCTTTGCCGCTGCCGAGTGCACGGCCGCCATAACTCTTTAAAGAGCCCCTAATAAGACCTGGGGAAGCCAGAATGACCTCTCGCCTACGCCTGGAATTTGCCCCTAGGACTCCAATGCCGCCACCCCGTGGCTCAGGGAGGCGGAGGAACGTATCGCCCCCCCACACCGCGGCCTTTGCCGCTGCCAAGTGCACGGCCGCCATAACTCTTTAAAGAGCCCCTAATAAGACCTGGAGGAGCCAGAATGACCTCTTGCGTCATTCAAGCGAGAGGTGGAATTTGCCCCTAGGACTCCCAACGCCACCACCCCGGGGCTCGGGGAGGTGGAGGAATGTATCGCGCCCCTCCCCCCCACCGTGGCCTTTGCCGCCGCCGACTGCATGGCCGCCATAACTCTTTAAAGCGCCCCTAATAAGACCTGGGGGAGCCAGAATGACCTCTTGCATCATTCACGCGAGAAGTGGAATTTGCCCCAAGTACCCCCAACGCCACCACCCCAGGGCTCAGGGAGGCGGAGGAACGTATCACGCGCCCCCCCACCGCAACTCTTTAAAGAGCCCCTAATAAGACCTGGGGGAGCCAGAATGACCTCTCACGTTTGATGTGCTATGTGATTTGATGGTGTGTTTGGGGTGACCCAATTGAAAAACCCTAAGGATTCACGAGGATACGTGCTGTGGAACCATGTTTTTATAGAATGGTGTCGCCACGGAGCTGTGGACATATGATTTCTGTGGTGCATTCTGTGGCCATGGACAAGGCATATTATTTGATGGTGATGTTGGGGTGACACAATGCAAAAATCATGAGGATCCATGAGGATCCGTGCTTCAGAACCATGTTTTTGTAGCATGGTGTTGCCACAGAGCCGTTGCACTGTGATTTCTGTGGTGCAGGCTGTGGCCATGGACATGATATGGGATTTAATGGTAAGTTTGGGGTGTCCCAACACAAAGATCCCAAACATTCATGAGTATCCGTGCTTCAGAATCATGTTTTTGCAGAATGGATTCACCAGGAAGCTGTGGATCCGTGATTTTTTTGGTGCAAGCTGTGGCCGTGGACATGTTATATGATTTGATGGTGTGTTTCAGGTTACTCAATTGAAAAACCCTGAGGATCCAGGAGGATCCCTGCTTTGGAACCATGTTTTTGCAGTTTTGTGGTGCCACGAATTCATGGGGGCATGATTTTTGTAGTGCTTCCTATAGTCTAAGACATGGTCTACACTATGATGTTGGTTTTATTTCATTCCAGCGTAGAAATCATATGAATGCCTGCGGGGCCGGCCCCAGCTTATTTTGCACCCTAGGTGAGGATCCTGACTGGACCCTGCAGCACTTGGTGGCAGCCAGGGCCGGCCCCAGCTTATTTTGCACCCTAGGCGAGGATCCCTTCTGCCCCCCCCCTCTGCGCTCACCATTTTTCAAAAATAAATGCATTTTAGGAAGAATGAAAAAGACAAATAATCAAGAAACTCCCAGAGTACTGGGCCGGGTGCAGTTCGGCGCCCCTACGGGCCAGCCCGCTCTAGGCGATCACCTAGTTCGCCTAGTGAGTGAGCCGGCCCTGAATGCATGAGGATCCGTCTTTGCGCTCTTGTGGTGCCACGAATCTGTGGGAGCCTGATTTTTGCGGTGCCCCCTATAGACTAACACACGGCCTACAATCTGATGGTGGTTTTATTTCGTTTCAACCTAAAAATCGTATGAATTCATGAGGATCCACGTAGACCCGACTCTTACCCTTTTCCCTCAACGGGCTTCCACGCTGCTAGTACGGCCTGAAATGAAGGCGCGCGCGGCAGACTTCTTGCTCCCTCCTCAGCTGGCCCCAAAAGTCGTTAAAGCAAACAAATCTTTCTCCAGAGGGGAAGTGGACTTCAGCCATGGCTGTATGGGAGCAAGCCCTTCAGATTCACAAAAACGCTCACTTCTGACCGGGGGGTGGGTGGGGGAGAGCCTCGTCCACAGGCACCAGTCTTGAGCTGACAGTGCGGGGGGGGGGGGGCAAGGGGGGGAAGGGAATAGGCCCCCTCCCCCCCCCCCCCCCGCCTTTCCCCTCGCCGCCTTTAAGCCCGGGTAGGCGCTTCCCCTGCCGCTGTCTCTCCCTCAAAAAGTTGGCGGCCGGGCCTCGGCTCCTTCCCTTGCTAACTTCCCCCCGCTGGCGGATCTCCGCTCTTCCCCTTCCCATCATGAAGCCCTGGCTCTTGCTCAGCTTGTTGCTGCTGCACCAAACGCTGCAAAATGGTGAGTTGAGCAACGGGGGACGTCTCTCCCCTCGCCCGGGGGAGGAGGGGGGAGGGGGCTGCCCCGCATTTCAACCCTTCCCCCCCCCCCTTAGAGGGCTCCAACCTAAATTCCTCTAATCTGACTGTACAATGTTCCCTCTAAGCCATGGAGTCTTGTGAGCAAAAATTCTACGTTGTGAGCTACTGGCATTAAAGTTGTGAGCAAGCGATTTGGCTACTACATAAATTAGTTTCCTCTAGAGCTGTCCTTCCTGAGCTGAGACAAAAACGTGTGAGCGGGAGGCTAAAAAATGGTGAGCTAGCTCACACTAACTCATCTTAGAGGGAACACTGATCTGACATTCCCCACCCCCCTGTTACTCCTCGCCTGCCGAGGGGTCGCGGATGCCTTAGGGAAGGGAGTGGGGTGACTTCTCCCCCACCCTTCCTCCTCTCAGATGAAAACGGGCACATTTGTTTCCCGTTACCTGGCAAGAGAGCTGCCTCTTTCTGAAGCAAGCCTTGGCTGCCAGCAATGGAGACTGTCGGCTGACACACGCCCCATCGAAAAATTTTGAGAATCTGGGCACATCTCTCCCCCCCCCCCTTTCATTTAGTCACTTCAGAACTGGGCAGCTCAGCCTGTCTCACATACAGAGCTCTTTTAAAAAATAAAAAAAAATAGGAGCCTGGTTTTCGAAATGGTAGCATCCTTTAGAGATGCTAATGCTTGTGATTAACACATGGAATTCACTGCCACAGGAAGCGGTGGCGGCTACAAGCATGGACGGCTTCAAAAGGGAATTAGATAGGCATATGGAGCAGAGGTCCATCGGTGGCTATTAGCCACAAGGTATAGATAGGGGCTTTGGGGCAAGTGATGCTCTGTCTTCTTGGTGCTTGGGGGGGGGGGCAACAGTGGGAGGGCTTCTAATGTCCTGGCCCCACTGGCGGACCTCTTGATGGCACCTGGTATTTTTGGCCACTGTGTGACAGAGTGTTGGACTGGATGGGCCTTTGGCCTGATCCAACATTGGCGTCTCTTATGTTCTTATGTTGTGTATTTAAAATATTCAGGTACAGTTGTGCCTGGTATCAAACGCCTACTGGGAAAAATCTGGTTCTTTGAGGGTCACTTTATACAGTGCAATATACGTGTAGGCAATTATTAGAAGTGCGTATTTATATATCATACTGCACTGAAATGCCCATGTAAGGAAAGCCTAATATACAAAGTGGAACTTAGAAAACAAAACTGGAAAGATGTGATGCTGCTCCTTGTCGTGTATACCATCCTTCTTTGCAGCTAGCACTTTAGCCTTTCTTCACCTGTGTATTCATTTGTAGCATCACTTTCTCTATTGGTTTATATACATTTCACTTATTAAATGCAGTAGGGAGCCCAGCTGTGGTTTAAGGCTACAATCCAAGCTATAAAGAGCAGCCCCCATTGAACTCAATGGGTCTTACTTTTTGGGGAACATATTGGAATTGTACTAGAACCTTTCTGTTGTTTACTGTTAAAATTTAGCACTAGTCACTATAGATTAATAGTTCAATGTTTGTTTTGCAAAAACCAAACTTCTTTATAACTAAAGTTCATCCAAACAATTTTCTTCTCTAAATATTGCCAGGAAATTAAAGGATTCTTGCCCTTCTCATCATTTTTCCAGATTATGTCAAGAGTATGTCAAGCACATCACTGAGGATAAACTCATAGAATTAGGAGATACCACAAGAACTGTCCAGTAACCTGTAATCATAGACTTTCTCAGAGGTATTAATACACATATGCACATTTGTAGCATCCAGTCTGAATGAAGGACCAGCTTGGGAGAGCTCTTAGATGCCGCCAGTCATCTGCGGCTTGGATGCATTTGTTTTGTTTTTGTTTATTTTAAAAGAAAGAACCTTTCTACATTTGTCCATGCTTTGGTCACAAACTCCCCTCACACCCCTGTTCAGGGGTGATGAAAGATCACGTACCCATCTGGTAGTAGAAATAGTACAAAATCTCTAGCATCACACAAGCCAGGTGTATATGTTCCCCAAATAACAAATCAAGGACCACTGCATTGTTATTAGGAAGCAAGAGAACCTTCGCCCACAGTTTTTGGGATGGTCTGGAGGTCTGATGTTAATTTAGTTTTACTTACATTACATCCCCCCCCCCCTTGGCACTCCACATAAATACGCCTCCCACTGACATACCTATCCCCTACTGGAATGTAATGGGGGTGGGGATTGGAATTGGAATGTGTCTGCCCTAATCCAGTCACTCATTTCATTGGATCCAGTAAAACCTTCCACTGATTGAAGGGATTTCCATCAGCAGAACAGAACTATTTATCAGCTTCATTTACAGTCTGCCTTTCTCACTGGTACTCAAAGCAGATTACAAATATGATAAAAACTATTTAGTCAATCAGCCAGCAGATTACAAAGTATGACAAAAACATTTGAATTTAACAGCAACGGTTTCTGGTTAAAAAAAGAACAATGAACCAGTGGTGTTGGGTGGACTGCAAGATAAAACTATACAGCATGTACGATTTCTGTCTTGAGCAAACTCCTGGGGAAACTCATTGGGAAGCTTGTTGCATCAGCACCAAGAAACTGCCACAGATCACAACATGAAAAAAGTTTTGAGTGTTCCATAATCGTGGACTATACCAATTGAGTAAAAAGGTAAAGGTAATGGTTTCCCTTGCTCTAAAGCCAATCAAATCTGGCTCTAGGGGGCGATGCTCATCTCTGTTTCCAAGCCGGCTCTAGGGGGCGATGCTCATCTCTGTTTCCGCTGTCCAAAGATGTTTCCGTGGTCATGTACTAAATGGCGAGGCACACGGAACGCTGTTACCTTCCCATCAAAGTGGTACCTATTTACCCGCAATGTCTTGCTTTTGAACTGCTAGGTTGGCAGGAGCTGGGGAGAGCTCACCCCATCATGCGGCACTCGGGTCTTGAACTGCCGAGCTTCCAGTCTGCAGCGCAGCATCTTAATCTCTAAGCCACTGCAATTGCGTAGGGACCAATAAAGTTCCATTCCACCTGGTCCCATGAAGCTGTGGACCGGCCAGGCTATTCAATCAAAGCAACCTGTTGCTCAGGTATACACTGAAGGCTTCTCTTGCCCTTCCCTGTTCCTGATCAACCACCGCAAATTCCTCTGCAATAATATACTTCCATTTCAAGAAACTTTCTTCTTCTTTATAAAAACAGTCCTTAGAAAGCATTATGCACTCTCATTTACTGCACAAGTATTTTTTAAAAATTATTTATTAAAACATTTTTATTCTCCCCATGGTAAAATTCCAATCCCCGGCTAGGGTTACCAACCTCCAGATGGTGGCTGGCAATCTCCTGGGATTTCAGCTGCTCTCCAGGCAGCAGAGATCAGTTCACCTGGAGAAAATGGCCACTTTGTAAGGTGGACTCTGGCATTATACCACACTGAAGTCCCTCCCCACCCTCCTCAGGCTCCACCCCCAAATCTCCAGGTATTTCCCAACCCGGAGCGGGCAACCCTACCCCCACCTAATGAAATGCCTGTAATTTACACTCCACTAAAAGCTTTGGTGGAGAGTGCCATCAAGTCACCGCTGACTTACAGTGACCTCATAGGGTTTCCAAGGCAAGAGACATTCAGAGGTGGTTTGCCATGGCCTGCCTCCACATCACGACCCTGGTATTCCTTGGAGGTCTCCTTTCCAAACACTAACCAGGGCCAACCCTTCTTAGCTTCCGAGATCTGACGAGATCAGTCTAGCCCTTCAGAAGGGTGTGGATACACATTCCCATGCTGATGGAGATGCGCATCTGAACATAGGTCTACATTCACCATGAAACCAGGTGTGGGGGTATCTCTTGCTGGTTTGGAAGTTTTTCTCTGCAACTTATTGGGAGTTTTAAGGTCCTTTCCGTTTAATTGTTGGGGTTTTTTTGTCATCAAGTCACAGCCCTGGTATTCCTTGGTGGTCTCCCAACCAAACACTAACCAGGGCCACCCCTGCTTAGCTTCCGAGATCTGACGAGATCAGGCTAGCCTGGGCTATCCAGGTAAAGGTAAAGGTTCCCTTGCTCGAAAGCCAGTCGAATCCGACTCTAGGGTTGCGGTGCTCATCTCCATTTCAAAGCCAAAGAGCCAGCGCTGTCCGAAGACGTTTCCGTGGTCATGTGGCCGGCATGACTAAACTCCAAGGCGCACGGAACGCTGTTACCTTCCCACCGAAGTGGTCCCTATTGATCTACTTGCAATTTCTTGCTTTCGAACTGCTAGGTTGGCAGGAGCTGGAACTAGAGACGGGAGCTCACTCCATCATGCGGCACCCGGGTCTCGAACTGCTGAACTACCGACCTTCCACAGCCTGCAGTTCAGTGTCTTAACCACTTGAGCCACCGCAGCTCCATCCATCCATCCATCCATCCATCCATATCCTGGGCTATCCAGACCAGGGTATTAAAAGCTTTACAGCACCTAAAAGCCTCCCCTCACCACTCAGGGCACCCTTTCCATAAAGTGGGAGCAACTACAGAGAAAGCTTTTGTCGACGGTCGGCGGGTCACCGTTGGTGAGGGATCACACAGACATTAGTAGGCAGAAGTTAGTAGCTGCAGCATGGGATGCAGAGGGAAAGATTGTCCTTTGAACATGTCAGCCCCAGGATGCGAAGGGCCTCAAAGGTCATAACCAGCAGCTTGAATTAGACTTGGCTGGCAAATGGCCTGTAATAGCATCGGGTAATAACTGATTTTGTGCAGGAGTGCCATCTCTCCCTAGGGGAAGAAACCTAGTAATTATTCATTTGGATGTATTAATTTAAATGTATGCAAATTTAAAATGGCCTGTCTGTGAGCATCCTGCCTGAAGTAATAAAAAACGAACAGAGTATCAAAAAAGAAACTCCACTGCTCTGGCTTGTTTAAATCTTAAGTATTACATCAATAATATGTTTATCCTAGAGTCTGTCGGAAGGAGAAAAATAACATTTTGAGGGAAAGCGTGCCCTCTATAAAAGGATAAATATAGCATATTGATATTTACACTGTGTTTTCCCCCCCTTCTCCCTTGTGACAGCTATTGGTCAGTCTGCGAAGAACAAGCGTCCAAAGGAACCAGGAGAGAACAGGATTAAACCTGCTAACAAAAAAGTAAAACCCAAAATTCCCAAATTAAAGGAGAGAGAATCCACAGACTCATCCCCAAAGATCTACTCCATAATGACGCAAGTGATGGATAAGGGCCGCTTTCAGAAGCCTGCTGCCACTCTAAGCCTTTCTGCGGGACAGAGTTTAGAACTGCGGTGCAAAGGGAATAAAATTGGGTGGAGCTATCCCTCTTATCATGACACTTTTAAAGACTCCAGACTCAGGTAAGAGTTTCAAAGATGGACATTGGTAGAGTCACTACTAGACTTCATTGAAAGAAACAACAACACTCCTAAGAAAATTTGGGGTGTCTTCCTCATGTACAACATAAAGGTAAAGGTTCCCTTGCTCGAAAGCCAGTCGAATCTGACTCTAGGGTTGCGGTGCTCATCTCCGTTTCAAAGCCGAAGAGCCAGCACTGTCCGAAGACAGTGGTCATGTGGCTGGCATGACTAAACACCAAGGCGCACGGAACGCTGTTACCTTCCCACCGAAGTGGTACCTATTTATCTACTTGCAATTTCTTGCTTTCGAACTGCTAGGTTGGCAGGAGGTGGAACTAGAGACGGGAGCTCACTCCATCATGTGGCACCCGGGTCTCGAACTGCTGAACTACTACCTTCCACAGCCTGCAGTTCAACGTCTTAACCACTTGAGCCACCACAGCTATGTATGTACAACATACATAGGAGTTAAAAGGAAGCTAAAAGAATGGGATTTATCAGAGGGTGTCTTAATTGCCACTGACTCAAATGAAGCAAACCTCAGGGTGAATGTGGAGAGTCTGATGAAACATCCATGGGAACTGTAAAGGAAATTAGCTGCTCTGAACCCCCTTTGATGGGGGCAAAGTTGGACTATAAATGTTAAATACATTTTAAAAGAATTTGGGTTAGACTGGGAAATTTCACACAAATTACTTTTTCAGCTTTTTAAAGTTTCATAATATAGTAGTATTTTCTCCCTAACAATAATAATGTTGTGACGTATGCATTGACATGAGGATTTCTGCTGATTCTAGAAAATGAAAATTTTCTATATTTAAATTAATTTCACAGTCATAAGTGTTCCCTACTATAAAGGGTATAAAGGTTATCCTTATCTTTGATGTGTATGTATTTCCCATATGCTGTTTGAAAACAAGGTTTTTGAATAATCTCCTTCTTACTGTAGGGGTCAATGTTGTATGTATCTGTATGTCAACTGTCAATATATCTAATTCTTAGTATGGCTGATTCTGTGGATATTTAAATCCAGAGACTGCAGCCATGAACAGACCTTTCTACAATTCTGAGGAAAACCCCAGGTTTGCAGAAAGAGCTGAACTGTAGAAAACAAAACACCGGGGTGGTTAAAATCCCCCCAAATAACAATAGCAGCACCTGCAGCATTAAGAAACAAATGCCCTCTGTGGCCATTGCTAGGCAACCCCAACAGTATTGCCAGTTGAAGCCTTGGTTTCTGTCAGTAAAGGGCGGAATGAGCAGGCCCTTTCCAGGGATGTTTTCGCCTTTGAGGGAGGACTCATGAGGGCCAGGCCTATCAGCAACCACTGAGTGACTTGATAGCACAAGAGTTCCCTGACTCACCCAGGCCCAGCTGCTCGCTAGTATTCAACAGCAGCCACCCCACAAAAACCAGTGTGGTATAGCAGTTAGAGTTTCAAACCAGGATCTGGAAGACCCAGGTTCAAATTCTGTCATAGTGCTCACTGAGTGACCTTGGGCCAGGCACACATTCTCAGCCTAACCTACCTCTCAAGGTTGTTGCGAGGACAAAATGGAGGAGAGGAGAATGATGTAAGTTGCTTTGGGTCCCCATTGTGGAGAAAGGCAGGGTATAAGTGAAGTCAGTAATAAATACAGCTGATGGTAATGGTAGGACTAGGCTTGCTGGTGCCCAGTTCAGGACAGGGGTTCCCCTGGTTTTGAGGGCTTCTCCCCGTGGGAAACCCCACACCCAACAGCCACATCCCTACGTGACTTCCCTGACCTGATGATGTCACCTGGAAGTGATATCATCACGCCGGGGACACTGTGCGGGGACACTGTGGTTTAAAGGCAAAGCTCTATGGTTTCAACATGTCAGGGATGTCCCAGAACGCCCCACAAATCCCCCCCGGCAAAGGGAACTCGGCATCCCTGGGTAGGGTGGTGGGTGGGTGGGAAGGAGAAAAGGAAACAGAGAAGCAGGACAATATGGGAGTTACCAAGAAGCGGGAAAGTGCGAAAAGGTGAATACAGGGGTGAGGTGCCCACTGCAAGCCTTTGCAGGCTCGCCACAGCACAACTGTGCGTATCCTGATCGCAGTCACCATGCAGCTGCCATAGTTTTCCCAGGTAGAGGCTGTCAGGGGGGAGGAAAGTTGAAGACAGGAGGGCAGCTAAAGGTGGAAGGAATACAAGGAAGCAGGACAAGGCTATGGGGGCTTTCAAGGGAGGGGGAAAAAGAAATAGTGGGGAGGGGGAAACGAGATGAGATGATAAAAAGGAAGTACTTATTCACCCAAAGAGTGATTAACACATGGAATTCACTGCCACAGGAGGTGGTGGCGGCTACAAGCATGGACGGCTTCAAAAGGGAATTAGATAAGCATATGGAACAGAGGTCCATCGGTGGCTATTAGCCACAGGGTATAGATAGGGGCTCTGGGGCAAGTGATGCTCTGTCTTCTTGGTGCTTGGGGGGGGGTCAACAGTGGGATGGCTTCTGATGTCCTGGCCCCACTGGTGGACCTCCTGATGACACCTGGTATTTTTGGCCACTGTGTGACACAGAGTGTTGGACTGGATGGGCCTTTGGCCTGATCCAACATTGGCGTCTCTTATGTTCTTATGTTCTTATGAGATGCCCCCTGCAAGTCTGTGCAGGTCCTCCACTTGTCTAAGTGATGTTCCTCCATATTAAGTTTTAGCTTGTATGAAGCATGATTCCTTTGGGAGAGCTATCAAAGTCTTAGTTACTAACTGAGGTAAACTAGTACATTGCTAAAGAATAAAAGGTACAAATCAAACAGTGGTGTTTACTGTTATGACATATTGGGATGTTAGACCTTCTCCCCAAAGAAGTTCTCACATCTTTTAGTCTCGCTTTACATTTGTTCCCTTTGCTTTCTTTGAAGCTCAGTCTTTCTTTTCACTGGGAGAAAAAGAGGTGCCTCAGGCAATGATTTACCAATAAAGTCAATCAAGTTGTTTTCTTGGCTACAATAGCTTTGCCTTTTTATGAAGATGGTTAATGTGTCCGTTCACTTAAACCTCAGCACTATCTGTCTCTCTAGTGATTGCTTTTTCCATTAAAAAAAAAAAAGAGGGAAGAGTCTTCCAAAAATTTGCAGGGGTTTGAAACATAGTATGCCAATCTCATAGAAGAGAGGACTTTTTTAGATCAACAGTGCAAACAGTGCAATTACACTCTTTGGAATGTATCAAAAGGAAGTCACGTTTTTTGTACAGCGACATTAGTAGTAAAATAAAAATGGCCACATTTTGTCTTGTGGTTTTGCCATTTTATACCTTATGGGATGCAGCCACAGAGAAGTGGCAGTCCTGAGTCTTGGGTATCTAATGAGCTTATTTATTTAATCATTTAAAGCCCACCTTTCTCTCCAGTGGGGACCCGAAGTGGCTTACATTGATTTTCCTCTTCTCCGTTTTATCCTCACAACTTGTGTGTGACTTAGCTGCAGCCTCTTTTGGTTTTGGCTTCTGTGACATATGACACAGTGTTTTTGAGATCATTATGCTGTTGGTGCTTAGGAGTCTTTCAGTTTTGTCAGCATTCAGTGATCCTAGGAAAGCCTCTTCTAAATGACATAGCAGCATAAAAACCTGCGGTTTAAATCTGCAGGGAGATATGCTGGACATAGACCAGTGTAATATCAAATCAACCAGTAGAGGGAGCAAAATATGGATGGAACAGACCCCCCCCCCCAGAAGCCCCTAGTGGTACTCACTCCACTGCCCATGGAGAGCCACATTCACAGTTACGATTAACCAAAAGAGCCACGTAACGACTCCCATCCCTGCTAACACATATGCAATAAGATATAAATATTAACATTGACTGTATTACTGTGCATGTTTAAATTAGCAGAATACCTGTGAGCATGTAGGCTTCTCTCTCCCTATTCCTATTGAACCTTATCCAGCCCTTGGGTTGCCTATCGTGAGACATTGCACCATGGGTTCAGCTGGATAATTGACAACCATATACATGCGGTTGTGAGATCACCTACAAGATACAAAAAAAGATACCAGCAGCCTGACCATGTGGGGATGCTGTGGTTATGAGGATATGTGTAATTAGCCCATTAACCAGAGGCCTTGAAAAGTACACCATGGGGTGATCAACAATAGACCTGCTCCCTCTAAGCAGTGGAGTCTTGTGAGCAAATATTCTACTTTGTGAGCTACTGGAATTAAAGTTGTGAGCGAGTGATTTGGCTACTGCATAAATTAGTTTGCTCTGGAGCCATCCTTCCTGAGCTAAGACAAAAATGTGTGAGCCAGAGGCTAAAAAATGTGAGCTAGCTCACACTAACTCAGCTTAGAGGGAACACTGGACCTGACCTAACAACCAGAGGTCTTGGAGAGTACACCATGGGTTTGCCAACATTTGATGGACCTGATGGGTGGGTTGTTGATTTCTCATGATATGTAAAATAAAGTGATCCGTCAAGCATTAATTAATTTATTCCCTGCCTGTCGCATTATACGTGCTTGTGCTGATTATGAATATATTATTAGTAAAACACAGTCATAGGGTAGATAGACTAATGACCAATTGTACATAACGAGGGGAAGAACTTGCAAGTCAGATTTACGAGCGAAACCCATGTGCAGGCTTTCAGGTTCAAAATGCTTCCCCCGAGTTAAAAATACGTTTCAAGTTGAACCGTAGTATTTCAAGGGACAAGGTGGTTGGAACCTCTCTCCGTGCTCAGTGGGAACCACCTGCCAGCCACAAGTCCCAAAGGGCAACCGCATCACCCACTTTCCTTAAAAATGGGTGGGTGACATGTTGGAAAACGGTGCTTAGGAGAGCCACAGTTGTCATGTCCAAGAACCACTGAGTAAGCATTGTTGCTCTAGCCGCTACATCACAAAAATAACACAGTAAATCATCCAGTGTAATTACAGCAGATGTAAGCCAAGAATAACAGATTATTGCTATCACCAATAAATAAATTAGAGATGTAATGCATTGCCACAAGATGTTTTGT